GAAGTCGCACGACACCACGCTGCTCTGGTGGCCCTCCAGCCTCCGGATGAGCGCGAACGACCGCATGCTCCAGAGCAGCGCCTGGGGAGGCGGCGAGCGGCGCCCGTGAGGGCCGCGCCGGGACCCGCCGGCGGCGCCCGGGCCGCTCCGTCCGGATACGGGGCCGCCCGCCCGCGGCACTCACCGATTTCTCGCCGGCAGCGGAGCAGAGCATCCTGCAGTCCGGGGAGATGGAGCAGCAATAGACCCACTGCACGTGGCCCGTCAGCACCTGCACCTGCCGCCCTGGGCACGCGGCGCGCGGGTCATYGAGGGCGGCGGAGAGGCAGGGCCGGCCCGGCCCCGCGCTCCCCATCCCTTCACCAAAACCGTCCTGCACCCCGGGTCCCAGTGGGGACGGTGGCTCTGCACTGCGCTGCAGGGCTTGGCCACAAACACTGTCCCTTGAGACCCTTTTATTCCCTCCCCAGCACCAAAGTGGGTGACCTGGACCTGGGAGAGGCTCCTACCGTCCCTGCTGAGGTCCCACACGCGCAACGTCTTGTCCCGCGAGGCAGACACCAGGATGAGGCTTCCGTTGGGTGCAAAGCTCAGGTCTCTGACCACATCCTGGTGCCCCAGGAGGCTGAAGAGCAGGTGCCCTGCGGAGAGGGGCCGCGCTCAGCATCACCTCGCCACGGGGGACGGGGCCATGTCCCTTGGACCGTCCTCCTTGGAGCGGCTCCCGCGCGCCTCCAGGAAATACGCTGGAGAAGGGAAGGAGGGAGCCAGGCTCTCCTTCCCAAAGGGAGGCTCTCCAAGGTCACYGCGGCTGCGGTGCCGACACGGTGCTGCTCACCTGTCTGCACCTCCCAGACCTTGATCTGCCCGTCGTTGAGGCCGGTGGCCAGAACGAGGCAGGGGAGGCCGGCGGCGCGGGGGCTGGCGGGGGGCCACGAGCTGAAGGCCAAGCCCCACACGATCTGGCCGCACTCCAGTGTCTTCTCCTTGGCGCCCGCCCGGCTCCTCGCCTCCGCTTTGCCRCTCTTGCGCTCAAAGGTCTTGCAGCTCCTGCAAGAGGGCAGTGATGCCACCACGCGGTCCCCTCCGCTCCCAAGGCCCCGTCACACGCTGCCTCCGGGCGGGATGCGCTGCGGGCAGCCGGTACTCACAGCTCGGCCTCCTCCAGCGGCCAGGGGATGAGCTTGACGACGCAGTGCCCTTGGGACCAGGCGAACCAGGCGCCGTCGGGCGAGAAGGCCACGCTCCACGTCTCGCAGCTCGACTTCCAGTCATGCTGCTGCGGCCGGCCGGGCTTCAGCTCCGCCAGCAGCACCGGCTCCTCTGGGTGGCCGCACAGCAATGTTACTCCAAGGAGAATCCCCTTCCCAACAAGGCCAGGTCCTGCCCGCTCCGCACCAGGAGTGCAGGGCTCATGCACCCGAAACAGTGGCAAAAAAATTGGCAGCCCTGCTGTATCTGCTGATAAGAATGGCCCCAGAGGAGGGCCAGCACCCTGGAGCTTCCTGCCCGCTGGATCTGGGGATGTTACCACACGGATGGACATGGAGCGAGTGGAAACAGCTGGGCCGGGGAGTGAGCTTGAACGTGGAGCCAGGGACCTGCCCGTGGCCAGGAGCGGGGGACCCTCTGTGCCATCCGGAGGTGCCRCAGGCCAGGGGGAGCCATGCCCAGAGCCCGGCGCGCAGAGGCCTCCCAGGGAGCCCAGGGGGAGCAGAGCTTCCCGAGGGCCAGGCTCCCACCTGGGCACATCCCTCACCACGTCCCCTGCCCGCACCTCGTGGGCGGCAGCGCAAGTGGCACCCACGAGAGCGGTGGCCCMGTCCCGCAGCACGGGGACAACCTTCGCTCTGCGCAGGAGACGTTGCCGCACTCCGGGACGCTGCCCGGCCCGGGGA